AAAAAAAGTGTTACAAAATACTGCTTTTAAAGACTATACATGGAGAGAAATCTGTGAAGAAAAAAATTGAAACGAGCATATACCCAAAACACTAGAATAGCTTCTACGGTTTAATGGAGGTACAATTGGCTAAGGAACAAAAACATTTAAAGGGGGGTAAAAGACAAACTGAGATGAAAGAATAAACTATCAATCCATTAAAAAAAAAAGATAAACATTCCTAAAATTTATCTCATTTAGACATGACGATCTGATTCGGATGTGGAACAAACAAGAAGGGTTCTGCTCAACCCACCCTCCTTTTGAGATGCACAAGTCAAATCAGTTCAGAATAAAGCAGCAGCAGAGATTTATTTCCACATCAAAGCCAAGAAAACAATAAACAAGGGTCCAGGAAAAAGAAAATAGAAAATTCAGTATTACCCATGCCAAAATGCAGCAAGTTCCACTGGATAAGTCACAAAATGTGCTCAGAATAAATTACTAATTTGATATTTAGATACCTAGAAGCGTGCTAACAACAAATAAAGAGCATATGTGAGTGGGAACGGTGGGGATAAAGAAGCATGGCAAAATGCTGAAACAAGATGATGTGTACATGGGGGTTCCTTGTACTCTACAGAAACTTGGAAATTTTCATGGTAAAAACTTTTAAGTATTTTCCTTTTCTCTGCAATCATTTGTTGAAGAATTGTTTACATATAATAAAGTACAAATTCTTAGGCACACCTTGTAGTTCAATGAATTTTTACATATTGCAATATGTATATATCTGAGTAACTGCCACCTAGACTAAAATAATAACACATTACCATCAGTTCAGAATGTTTTCACTTGCCCAGTCCAAGTCATTAACTCCTCCCANTGCAGTGCTGAGGATTCAACAATGAACAAAATGGACAAATATTTCTGTCCTCCTAATATTACAGTATAGGGTTTAGACATTAAACAAAACAAATTAAGTAACAAATAAGTATATGTTAAACAATACATACTACCGAGCAAAATAAAGCAGAGAAGAAAGAGTTGCTGGGGGTGTGCAATTTAAAATACAGTGGTTAGGGATCCCACTGAAAAGAGACCATTTGCGCAATCGCCTGTGAGGAAGAGTCATGTGGAAATCTAGGACAGGAACATTCCAGGCAGAATAAACAGGATGCCCTGAGGTGAGAACTTCAGTAAGAAGTCTTGGATGGAATGAGCAAAGAAAAAAAAGTAACAGATGAGGTTAGGAAATTAACTGGGGGGTGGGGAGGGGAATGAGGTGGAACAGATTACGTAGGACAGGATAATGCATTATAGGATAATGCAAGAAATGTAGGTTTTATTCTAAGTGAAATGGCAAGCTACTGAAGAGTTCTGATTAGAGAAAGCCATTATCTAACTTCTGTTTTACAGGAACACTTCGGCTACTGCATTGAATAGACTGAAAGAGAACAAGGTCAAAAGGACACCTGGTTACAAAGCTATCTGAATAGTAAAGGCAGGAGATCACAGTGGTTTAGACCAGGGTAAAAACAGAGGTGGTGAGAAATGGTCAGATTCTATATTATGAAAGTAGAGCCAAGAAATTTCCTGACACAGGAGGTAAGGAGTTGAGGTCGACTCTAAATTTTATAGTAAAGGCAACTAGAAAAATAGAATCGCCATTAACTAATGTAGTAAGATTTGTGGAAGAGGCAGGTTTGGAGAAAATATCTTGAGTTTAGTTTTGGATGTGCTAAATTTGAGATACCTATTAGACATTCAATTAGCAATGTTAAATAGGAGCCTGGATTTGACTGGAGAATTCTGTACTATATAATTCTATATAATTTGGGAGTTATGAGTATATAGATAACGCTCAAAAAGGCATGAACTTGGAGAAGATATCAAAGTGTATTTGGAGAAGGGAAGAAGTTCAAACAAGGATTGAGCCATGAGACGATCCAATATTAAGAGGCCACGGAAAAAGAAGTATCAGAAAAAACGGACAGACAGGCCAGTGAGAGAAAAGAAAAACCCAGAAGTGTGGATGTCAAACGAGGGAAGCGCTTCAGACAGAAGGAATGACCCACTGTGCCAAATGCTGCTAAAAGGTCAAGTATGAGGAGGGTCTGTAACCAGCCACTGCGCTCAGCAAAGCTGGTAGAACGGTGGCTGCAAAAGCTTGATCACAGTGCTGTTAAAAGAGAGTGAGAGGAAAGGAACTGGAGAGGAACAGAAATCAGGAAAATCACCGTTTTTTAACCATAATTTTCTTAAATGTGATTCCCGTTTCTGTGGATTTAAAGTTTACATGTTTTGAAGGTCTGCTACTCGGATACTTGCTCTCAGCCATGCTGTGGCTGCTAGTATCAAAAAGTATTATACTGGTCTTTTGCTTGTTAGCAATGTCAGAACTGCTACTTAGCACTTACATTCCATCTATCACCTAGTAGATACTCATTAAATAGTTACTGAATCAGGGAAATTTACTTTAGAATTCAAATGTCACTGATTTAAAGGAAGCTTTAGGCAGAAGGAGAGAGAAATCAGTTGACCTTCCAGGAGATGAGTTTCAACTGGTAGCTTGGATCTATATACTCTTGTGATTCATCTGCTGGGAGCCAGAAATAACTCCCTTTTTAAAAAAAATTGAGGTATGATTGACATCTAATACAATGACTAACGTATTAGTTTCAGGTGTACAACATGATTCAATATTTGTATATACTGCAAAATGATCACAATACTTTAACATGCATCACCGTACATAGTTATAAACTTTTTTTGTGATGAGAGCTTTTAAGATCTACTTTCTTAGCAAATTTCAAATATGCAATAAAGTATTAACTATAGTCACCATGCTGTACATTATACCCCCATAACTCATTTATTTTATAACTAAAAGATAGTACCTTTTGACCACCTTCACCCATTTTGCCCAATCTCCTCCCACCACTTCTAGCAACCATCAGTCTGTTCTATTATCTATGAGCTTGATTTGTTTTTTATTATACTTGTGAGATCCTACACTATTTGTCTTTGTCTGTTTGACTTATCTCACTTAGCATATGCCCACAAGATCCAAACATGTTGTTTCAAAGGGCAGGATTTCATTCTTTTAATGGTTGAATAATATTCTAATAGTCACATCACATCTTTTATTTTTCCAGGAAGATCTTATTTTTCTTGAGGAAGGGGGCTTATAACAATTTATTTTCCCCCAGTTCTGGAGGCTAAAGTCCAAAACCAGGGTGTCAGTCGGTAGAGCAATGCTCCACTCCAAAGGCTCTAGGGAAGAATCCTTCTGGCGGATGCCAGTGATCCTTGGCATTTCTTGACTTTACACTGCATCTTCTTTATCCGTTCAACCATCGATGGACACTTAGGTTGTTTCCATATCTTGGCTATTATAAATAATGCAACAAGAANGCAGCAAACGATGGACTGCGCTCAATGGTTTCATTCAATGCTGTATCACAAATAGAAATTTCTGTTTCACTTTTTTCAAATAAAGGATCGTTGGGTAAAGAAGACTGAACTTGATCCAATGGACTGGAACCTTTGTAGAGAACAAAAGGAAACACATTTGGAAGGATTCATTTAGATAAAATTTAACTCAATAATGACTATTTCAGTAGAAATCATACCAATTATGACCTACTTGAGAATATAAGTGAATTTCTCTGACAGGTGCTTCTCCTATGTTCCTAAGTTAACTGGGAGGGCAGGAAGTTTACCCTACGAGTTCATTTATGCCATTGTGTAGCCTTTCAATATCATCTCCCTCATATGCCTTTTGCACGTTTTTCACCTAAATCCTAATACCTAAAACATTCTGTAAAAGCCATTAAAAGGGGAGGCTGATGATAGACTACATAATAAAAGAGGCTTAAGTGAAGTCTTGGGGTAACCAATCTGCTCTTCCGGTTGTTGGGATGTGCAATTCAAACTTAACTTTTTTTATTATATGCAGGTGAAAAAAACTTCAAAAGTACTTATGAAAAATATAAGAACAGGTTACATGTCTAACAGAAGTGACTATTGTGTTTGACGTCAATTCAGAAGATTATATGTCAGTCTTTAGAGCTATAATATTAGATTCCTATCCCAAAAATGGATTGGTGTAATACATCTGTAATAATGAGTTAACTTTAGATGTTACAGCTATGAATAAAAAACAATGAAAAAGTCAATGTAGATTCTCTTAGCAAGAGTTTGTCAGAATCTTAAGGCAAGAGAAAATCCTATCTATTCTATAAATTACTTTAGCATGACTATATTTTATCACTATTAATGTAATAATAAAAATGAAAACATTTGAGATTTCTTGAAACAAAAATTTATAAATTATAAATAACTAAAGAGAAGACT